CCTCCCTGTGCTGCCAAAAACAGGTAGCAACGTGGGCCCTAAACATACATAGAAAACAGAGACTGGATTAGAGTGAAGACAGAAGTGATAGCTGGCTAAAGGTGAGTTTGTGAAACAAGTAAATGGAAGGCAGGAGTACCTACTTCACCTTTTAAGATATTTCAATGTAGCCTTTGCATCTGGCGTTTTCCTTTACTATAAACAACTACTTAGCCCCCGATCAAAAGAGCACCACACCAGTATACGTTAAACTGAGGCCTATGGACGCTGAGGGTACACACCTTTGAGAAATCGGTGTGCTTACCTCTTACTAATGTTTCGATTAACTGCATATTGTACATCAACTTAAGAACAACCTACCACTCAAATTAGGCACCGTTCTTACTGCGTCATGAATCACTAGTGCCAAGGCTGAGGCTTTAAGAACAGAGGCAACATGACCAATAAATAAATGTTTTTGAGAGAGAGAAGGCCATCCTTGAGGCAAGAAGATTTTAAAGAACTGCAGTTTCAATCGGGAAAAACAGTGAGAAAATGAATCATCAACAAACAAGATATTATCAGCAGTCTTTATATGAGAGGAAATTTTGTTTCAGCAAAAAACACCACCCGTTAGATTAATTAAATGTCACTGAAAAGTTTGTTACTGATTTCACAGTATTGTTTATATTTAATTTGTAAACTGATGTCGTTTTGAATAAGCATAAAAATTATAGTTTCATACTTGTATATACTTATTAAATTACCATAATAAATAATTAAATCTACATTAGAAGCCACTATTTTCTTTTTCCTTTAAAACAAGTACAGATACACTCATTTGAGAAACAGTATCCTAAAGGCAGAGGAAAAGGCTGGCTGATCCCACCTTAAGGCAAGTAGAGAAGGAGACAGGGATAAGAAAAGAGAGATGGCCCCGAAGCTGAAGGGCAGGGTGGAGTAAAGAATGTTGATACATTCTCCCCACCCAGTAATTCAATTTAATGAGTACAATTCTATTTATGTCTACTCTTTTTTTTTTCTTTTTCCTTTATCTTCTTTTTTATTGGGGGGAAGGGGAGAGGCAGTGTTTGTCTATCCTTGCAATGACAAAAGTCTACTTAGAGATGGTTCTTTGAATTCTAAAGTATAAAGAAAGAGAAAGTAAAGGGGAAAATATATGAGAAAGCCGTCTTGAAATGTTTCTTTTAAACATAAAAGGAGAAAATCAATAAGGAAATCTCACCTATGATGTCACAACTCAAATTTTAAAACTGGCACCTGTTGAAAAACTAAGTTCATAGAATAACAATTGATGAAAAAGGTGGCAATTTTGAGTCATATAGAATGAAATAAAATCCAATTCACCAGTATCAAAGATTCTCAAATATCACTCATCAACATCCACATGGCTTGTAACAAAATAAACAAATAATCTTAGTGTTGAGATTTTTAAAGATGTTCCCTCATTTACAGAAAAGTTAGGACCAGAGAGGCTTAGTTATTTCCCCATTATCACACAGCATTTCACAGCATCAGAACTTAAACTCAGGTCTATGTCAATCTACTTAAACTGTCATTCATTTTCTCAGAGTAGATGTGAATACAAAATGCAACAATTTGTGTTAAAAATATGTGAAGTACCTTACATATATTTGAAATTGAAATCATCCTGTTAAGGTTTTCATTTATAAAGATCCTTCAAAATACTCTACTAGAGACATCTGTATGCTGAATCACAGACCAAGAAGCGTATATAACTCCTACGGGAACAGTCATGCATGAATTAACCAAAAGTGCATGCCAAAATTCTCACCAGAAAAGTTATTAACTAAGATGAAAATAATAGAAGATGCTTAGAAATATATTGACGATTATATAGGAAGGTTATTGTGAGAACCATTACTTACTAATGAAAATAACAGCAAAGTGCTAAAAATAACACTGAAATGGATAATGGATACACTACTGAAACAGTATGTAAGAGAATGGAAAGGCATAGTCTAAAGATAGGGAAGACAAAGGCTTTCTATGGTGAAACGAAAAATAGTCAGAAAAGGACAGGACGGGGGAAGGAGGCTCCTTGCTGAATCTCAGAGAGAACGAAGCCTGCTTCAAGTCCTTTAGACACACTCCTATCCTACTGTTCCAGCGCTTCAGAGAGCGGGCGCTCAGCGGCTGCAGCCTTGCCTCAGAGAGCATCATCCCCAGGAGGCAGAAGGTGGCTTGCTGGAAGAAAACCAGTGCCATAATATGACTTCAAGGGTTCTTCTGCTCCAGATCTTTCCCATTTGGCATCTAATACTGGGAATTTATTAACAAAGGAATAAAATATTTTCCTTCCACAACAAGAGAAGTAATAATCAAATGTTAAATTAAGTACAGTCATGATTTGCTTAATGATGGAGAGACATTCTAAGAAATGTGTGATTAGTCGATTTTAGTTTCATTATCGTGCGAAATCATGGAGCATACTTGCACAAACCTAGATGGCATAGCATATTGCGCACCTAGGCTATATGGTATAGCCTGTTGCTCCTAAGCTACAAATCTATATAGCATATTACCGCACTGAATGCAGTAGGCAATTGTAACACTATAGTTAAGTATTTGTTTATCTAAATATATCTAAACATAGAAAAACACAATAAAAATACAGTATAGAGATACAATATGGTACACATGTATAGGGCACTTACCAGGAATGGAACTTGCAGGACTGGAAGTCGCTTTGGGTGGGTCAATGAGTGAGTGGTGACTGAATGTGAAGGACTATGACATTATTGTACTCTACCATAGACATTATAAACACTTTCGCTACACTAAATTTATAAAACAACGTGAGATTAAATCAAGTACAAGAGAAAATGATGCAATCAAGTGAACACAATAAACAGACGTCTGAGGCTGCTGCTGGTGTTACATGGCACACTGTTTTACAGCAAACTTTTACAAGTAGAAAGAGTACAGTCTAAAACACAATAAAAAACTATAGAATAGCAAATACATAACCAGTAATACAATCATTTATTAGCAAGTACTATGTACCGTACATAATTGTATGTGCTATACTTTTCTATGACTGGCAGCACAGCAGGTTTGTTTATACCGGCATCACCACAGACACGTAAAGAATGAGATGCGCTGCAACCTCAGGACAGCTACCACGTCACTAGCAATAGGAAATTTTCAGCTCCATTATAATCTTATGGCCCCATTCCCGCTGACCAAAATGTCACTGTGTAGCACATGACTGGACTCTCATCACAAAACTAAGGATCTTAAACACAGGATCTACACGTTTGAGGACCTTACACTCCCAAGATTTCTTCGCTTACGAATGGAAGAACAAATCGGAAAGAATGGAAATAAACTGATTTTTGCAAGGCTGGATTCAAAATCATAATAAAGTACATAATGTTACTAGTAAAATAATGTACAGATATCTCATAGCTTTCATCACAGCTATGTAAGTATTTTCAACTTTTGGGACACTGAAACTGACCACCAGGAGTGAAGAGCAATGTCATTTGTAAACTATTTGGCATCTCCAGCAAGAGCTGGTTCAGCATTTAGCACTGAGAGAGGGAAATTTTTTGAAGAGGCATCATGCTCTCCAAGACGCACAGGCTAGTCCCAAGACCCCAGGCAGGATTTGCAAACCCAAGGGAAGGAGAGCTCACATTTGCCTATACAGAGGGTGGAAAGAACTGCAGATAGATTGTATTTTTCACCAATAGATTGATGAATGCCATTATCACTAGTAGCCTCAAATTCAGAAATTAAGTGAATGTGGGCATAAAAGATATTTTCTTTACCCTCATCCGGTTAAGTAACATAAGTGATAAGTAAATGTTCTAGCTTTTGGGATGGTTAAAATAAAGAATTTGGAAGCACACTAATCTCAATACATTTTGCTAAGCTCCATCCTTACATTACCTGCTTCACCATACAGATCAGATGCTAATATCTTTTAACAGCACACACATATCCCCATTATTTTGCTACTGACCTTGAACTTTACATACACAGTGATGCTCCCCCTACATGTGTCCTGAGGATTGCTAGAAAAGCCGAAGCCCTCTCCAATTTGTGAAAATACTTCACTCACCAACCGTCAGAGGCCAGAGATTCCAGGACTTCTTTTCTGAAGGCTAAAGCATTCGGAAGCCTCTATTAAGAGGTAAATGTGTCCTGGGAAAGGTAACAAGTTAAGCCTTCTCATTTAGCCACTTAATTATCTATAAGGGAAACTCTGAAGTTTCTTTTCCTCTGTCTTTCTTAGGTCGTAGTAATTAAAAGGGAAGATCCGGATTAAAAGGTGTGTGAGACAGGAGATGGGAGAAGCCCCTTAAGGGCCTTGTTTACTTCCTATAGATGATCAGATTCGATTGATCTTTAGCCACTGAACTCACATCCTCCGTGACACTCACTACCAATACCAGACTGACAATGGAAACCAAAAATTAAGATGCACAATAACTTGGAAAGAGATAAAATCCACTGGCCCATGCTCTCTTCCATCATCTTACTAAATGACAGAACTATGTATTTTTTAAAAGCCAACTCTTGATTGTGTCCAAAGAAGAGCCACCAATGTACATAAGAAAATAATCATATTCTTTGAATATCACTAAACAAATTACCTTCGTTTTACCCTTCAGGCAAATTCTTGAATCCATCCTTAAGGATTTTTTAAGTGTTCGAATTAGTCATAAAAGACCAATAGTCCCCGGTATTTTTCCCAGAAACGTTATACAAAAGATGGATTTTGTACAACTTTATTCAGGATACATTACAGTGTCCAGTAGAAAACTTTCCCTTCTCCGTAGGCATGGAAGTAAAGAACACCTAAGAACAAACTTTGTTGGCCACCAGCAGGGGAGCTCTTCAGCTATTGTCCCCAAACCCATTCAAACAAAAGAAGCTCCTTCTCCTCCATCCCACTCCTCCAGCCGCACCCCGTGGGGACACTCCAGATCCCCTCGCCCTTACCACCCTCCCCCGCCAGCTCTACTTACTCCTCAGCGCCCCAATGAGCAGAGAGCCATCCTTAATCAGCTCTTTGATGAACTTGTTGGTCCGCTCCAACTCAATCTCGTGACACTGGAGGCGCTCCCTGAAATCCGGGCTGTCCAAGTAGGAATCGCTGAACTCCAGAGTAGGCAGCCCCATGGCACAGGCACTGCCAGCGGCCGCCGGGGACTCGTCCGGGCCGGCAGTCAGGGCGGGGACAGTCGGCGACCTTGGCCGGCGCTGGGACGCGCGATCGCGGGGAACGCGCCGGGAAGCGAGGGGACGGCGCAGAGGAAACGGGCCCCGCGCGCCCCGCCGCCTGCGCCGGGTTCCCGTGGCGCGCGGACAGCTCCGGACTCAGTCTTCCCTTGAGGCCAGGCTGGAGCAGACACCAAGGGTGGGCCGAGGCGCGGGTCGGCTCAGGGTGTTGTCATCGCCGCACATCGTCGCTGCGAGCACCCAGGCGGCGGAGGCTCCGGGCCGCAGCCGGAGCAGGAAAGTTCTCTCCGGCACGCAGACACTTCCGGCAGCTCCACTCTCTGCTCTCTTGACAGTCGTTTGTGTTGGGAGACAGAAGCGCCCAGCCGCCACTCTGGCCGGGCCGGGGAAACCCTCCCCCTCCGCGGACGCAGGCTCAGAGAGCTTGCAAATCGGACCCGGGGTCAGAGACCCTCCTCCTGCCTCCGCGGTCCCACCCCGCGCCACCCCGCCCCTTCTCCCATTTACCCTCCTTCCCCCACCCGCCCGCCCGCACTTCGCTCCCAGGCTCCGCGCTGCTGCGGCGGGATCGCGCTCCGGTCCGCGCCCTAGGCGTTAACTCTGTCCCCTCCTGAGTTCCCGGCTCCTTGTAGCTCACGGTGGCACTTCGGGTCCACTCCACAGAAGTTTCTCAAACTCCCAACATACCTCCCCCCCTCGTCTTCTTCACAATCCCACTCCCTAGAATCCTGTGGCAGAGAAACCAGCGTTCATTTTGGAGCCCGGTTGGAAGGTGCTACTTTAAAGCATGAGTTCAGATTTTGCTTTACGCGTCTCCACGGAATGCATATGAATTCCAGGTTGAAAAGTTTCCCTCTTTCCCTTCGCTCACTACATTGATCCAAAAATGTCGGGGGATTTCTATTCAAAATGAAAGTTTCATAGGCCTGGGGCTGTTTAATGTTTTTCCAAGTTGTTGTGAAGGTGGGAAGATTTTAGGTCTTCCCCATACCCCAAATACCCACCTCAGACTTAAGTGCTCCTACTGCTAGAAGAAAACCTATTTGCCTCAAAATACTGTATTTCTTTATAGGCAGCTGGATGGAGCCGCCCTACAAGCATGGAGAGTTTCAAATTGTTGAAGCTGGCTGGAGTTCTCAATGAATAGTTAATTTCCACCAAGAGGCAGTTACCCCTCCTCTGGTAGAGGGATCACCTAATAAATTTCTGTTCTTTCTAGAGCTTGACACCAAGAGAAACTGCTGTATTGCATCTAGTCCTGCTATTCTCTATAGGGTTTCTGAGAACCTAGTCATTTTTCTTAAGAATCTGCTTTTAATTTCTGTCTCCATTGCTCTGTCCATTTGAACCATCTGGCAGGGGTGGGGGATGGGGGGGACCCTCTTCTGCACATCATGGGAAAAATTCCATTAAAGTGCTTGACATTTTTCCCAATTAACTTTCAGAGGCTGTCAAGACTTGTAGTTTCAAATGTTGTTTTTTTAATACACATAAACATTTTTTTAAAAAAGCACTTAAACCTTAAACTAAGACAGATAAGATGATGTAAACAGTATATTTGATGGCTTTGATTTAAATTCTTCTGAGCCAGGAAAATTAGACTTAAAGACCTTCCCAGATGGTTAGACTTGAAAATATTAGAACAATGGCCAATCGCCATTAGAGTCATTTTAACTCCAAGTGTCTACCTCGTGTCTGTCAGTTAAATGCTCCTCACTTGGGCAGGAGGGGTGGGAATGGGGGCGCTAATGCTACTATTTGTCAGTTATTGGAGCGACAGAAGCAACAGTGGGGCTGTTTTCCACCTGAGCTGATTTCATCTATTCATCACAGAGCCAAACACAAAAAACCAGTCAGGCCAAACAAACAGTTTCCTTTCAACTTCTGCCATGTTACTGTTCCAAGAAACTAAATCCAATGCCAGTTGCTGAGATATGAAACAGGATAAAATAAAATAATTCCTTCCTGTTTTTCATTAAATAAAAGTCCTGTGATTAATTCTTTAAAAATGCATCAACAGTCTTTGTTAAATACCACTATGTTGGATGTTAATTTTCATTTTTCTTTAAAAGCATAGGACAGATTTATTCTAGATTCTAAGATATGGTTTATCATTTACCCATTCATGTGTGTAATTGCATGTTTTATACCTGCTGTCTACATTACTGAGATCTGAGCAGACATGAGATTTATATGGAAAGATAAATAAAGGAAAGCATACTACCTGACCTCAACCTGTTCTCAGTAGAGAAAACATAGAGATCAAGTACCCATCTCACATGAGGCAGAATATTTTCTGCACCAATAATGTACTGATGCCATTATCAATATGTTTCCACTCAGGCCCATCATTTCATTCATATGGGATAAGAATTTTTCCTCCTACCTTTCATCCTTTAGTCTCTAAAATTTAGTATGTTATAATGGACTTTTTCTCTGTAGGTGCTTTTAAGGTTACTCATGACTTATCCCAGTGATTCATCCTTTAATTATACCTGCTAGTCAGGCTTTGTCTTATGCCACATTAACTCAGCTACTTGAGAGACACCAGAAATGGTTTTGCTTTGAGGTAGATTTACAGTCAGTTTTGAACTGTTGTTTTCCCAGCATAATAACTAAAGCAGATTCTTTCTGAGAATAGGCTTTCTAAATAAAAGAGTGTCTATACTGGGAAGCTTTTTTTTTAATGGATTGAAATGTAACCTCTCCAAAAACTTCCACTTCACAATACGTGTCCCTGTCAGCTGCATGGTGAGTTTCACAAATGTTATTGGCTGACACACTCTTTGGCATGGTTACTGGCACAGAGAAATGTCTGTTTGTTTTCTTAATTCTGAAATGGGAAGTGTGGGACTTTGTTTCTTTTAAAGAGCAAAATAGTGAGTTGGGGAGAGTAAACTACTATATGATATTTGTAAATCTGCCTCAAACCTTTTTCTTGACCTATTTCATGTCCAGCAATTAAGCTTGATGATTAATATCTATTCAATAAGTGTTACTCTTAGGTTATTATTATTTTTTAGTTAGTTTTGTAGACTTTGGCCTCCCAGGCTCAGATTCTGAGACTAAGTTCAGGCCTGGTAAGAAGTGACTAAACCGAAGGTGAATGCATCTCAGAAGACTGAATGTCCCCTTCAGTCCTTCCTGCAATGAGAAGGCAAGGAGTGACACCCCCGTAGCTTGCATTGCCACCTGTGTGTGATCTTCCCTCAAAGCGTGCTCCTTGAAAGAAGTTTCTATATCATTCTCCTCCAACCTTACATCATGTCTAGAAAAACAATATTGAACTCACACAAACAAAATATATGATTTAATGCCTTTAAATATTTTTATTGTGGTAAATACACATAACACACAATTTATCATTTTACATATTTTTAAGTGTACAATTCAGTGGCATTAGGTATATTCACACTGTTGTGTAACCACCACCACCATTCATTTCGAGAACACATATATCTTCTCCAACTGAAAACGTGCCCATTAAAGAACAACTTCTTATACCCTCCTCCCCCAGTCCATGGTAACCACTATTTTACTTCCTGTCTACAAATTTGACCACTCTAGGTGACTCATGCAAGTAGAAGCATATAATATTTGTCCTTTGTGACTGAATCATTTCACATAGATGATTTTATTATTAATAAGAGAAGCGAAGAAGACATAATCAGATTTGTTTTTAAAACCCTTTGAATCTACATAAATTTTTGAATCAGAAGAGTTTCTAAGTCTAAGATACTCTTCTGCTAAAAAAAAAGGAAGTTCTGATCAAGTCAATCCATGGCAGTTTATTCGGCTTTATAAAGCACATTTCTTGTTTTGTCCCACACAATTCTTGTCAGATTGGTTGATGTATAACATTGCATTCTCTGGTGGACAAGTATACATGTCATATAACTAGTGACAGAGGCCTATGTGACTTGTTAACATTATTTTTTACAGCTAATAATTAATAGTAGAGTTCCTCTCCAATGGATACAACTCTCCCATCTTCCTTTCCACTGTTGTCATGAAACACAGACAAATGATACATGCAGCCTGGGTTAAAAAAGAAACTTCACTTTGTCCAGGGGTATGAAATGGTAGTCTTTCCGAGGAGGAGCGTAGAACATAGATTACATTTTGTGAGTGCGTTGACTCCAAGGGCTGATCAACCAATACATGGAATAAAAAGCAACGGCTGGAAGACCAAATAGGTAAATTATTGAAAGAAGAGAAGAGATGAGAAGATGAATAAGGGAGGTAGACATGAGAATGGGGAAGAGATGGGCAGTAAAAAGATTAAATAAAGGAAAGAAACATACAGTGTGATGAGGTAAGAATCCAACGTGACTCTCTAAGATTTAAGCCTGTATAACTCAGAAGTATTATCTTTTTAGAATAAATGTAAATAGGCTTAGCTTCTCATGCTTAATTTGAGGTAAAGTTAGTGTAACTAAGTGGTGCTGTCTAGGGGAGAGATGAGCAGCACTAATACTCAGGGGTGTAGGGTTTAGTTTAACAGAAGGGCCAGAGATCCCTGGCTGGTGTGGCTCAGTGGACTGAGTGCTGGCCTGCAAACCAAAGGGTCATTCGTTCGATTCCCGGTCAGGGCGCATCCCTGGGTTGCAGGCCAGGTCCCCAGTAAGGGACGTGCGAGAGGCAACCACACATGTTTCTCTCCCTCTCTTTCTCCCTCCCTTCCTCTCTGTCTAAAAATAAATAAATAAAATCTTTAAAAAAATAAATAAAGATGTCATTCTTAAAAAGAAGGGGGGCGGGGAAAGAAGGGCCAAAGAAAGCAGCGAGTCAAGATCACCGACTAAGAGAGCAGGAATAACTACAGAGGATGGAATGTATTCCATGTTGCAATAGGCCTTCTAAAGTCCCCGCTAGAGCTAAGATTTTATTATGATGAGAAGTTTCTGAAGAACAGGATGAAGGAAGAAAAAAGAATTCTAAGCATGAAACCCTCATCAACTAACTATATTTACCCAGAGAAGAAAAGGAGAGAGAGAAAGAGAGAGAGATAGGGAGAGAGGAAGGGAAAGAGGTAAAGAGAGAGAGATGAATTTATGTAATTTTGAGAAGTTTTTTGTTGTTTTTTTGTTTTGTTTTGTTTTTAGGCATGGATTTCTATTTCCATTTAGTATTGCCCTCTGGTGGCAAACTGTAATGTTTGCTAACTGACAGAAAACCTTAAAGCAAACAGCAAAAGATAGACTAAAATGTAAGAAGCACCTGCATGTGCTGGGCATGATACACAGAGTGCTTATGTACAATAAATCACCTCATCTAACGTTCTCCACAGTCCTGTGAATA